TATTGAGAGCTTTGGCCCCTAACAGCACCTGATCAAGCACTGCACGGAGGCTTCGTCAATCATATTTTTTATTCCTAGTATAAAATTTGCCCTACACCTGCGATAGTAGAACCGTTCCCACGTGTGAAGGGCATTGCGAATTGTCCTTTTTGGATTGGCAAGGAGCACAAATGGATGTTGAAAATGTTCTTTAGTTCGAAATCTTCCCTCACAGCTCTATAGCGAGTTCTACAGGCCTCGCTACTTCTCCGGCTGACCTCATATTTCCGCTTTCGAAGGACATCACTGGATTTGGTAGCATGGAACATACTATAATATTATTAGCCAAGAGCATTCATGAATTCGTCAGCGATTGTCAAGATGATTAGTTCTCATCTTTATAATTTCAGGTTCAATTTTATAGTTATTCATAGGAGGACAGTAAGCCTGGGCGGATGGAGGGCATTTAACCGAAGGCTCATTTGCAGCGAGGCATGTTCGGGTTGCCGTAAACGGTGTAAATGTGAAGTGCTTCACTCAAATTTGTAAGGCGGCGAACTCCACCTCACTTCAACCTTGGACATACCGAAGAGAACTGCTGCTGCTGCCATAATTCAGGCATCGATTCAATCGAACGTTTCTCAAGCCTCTTAGTTCCCCATAATATCTGGATAGATATCATGAGGAAGAAGAGAACTAAATTAAGTATCGGTCATGGTGTTACATTAGACAGGTTGGTGAGAAGGATCTTTCTTCGAGGGAAACAAAGATCTGTACTCCTTTTCCGTAAAATATGAGAAGAAAATGCTTCTAGGAAAGAGTACGACTGAAAATGACGCCTGAGATTCCCACCCTATGCTCGGCGCCTACAAGCTGAAGACCAAAGTGCGACCAAGAATGGTTTGACGGCTCAATCGACTCACTACATTGCAAAAAAGGATGTAAAGCTGAGGATAAGCGCTCGAAGGTAGTGAGAGCTTTGAGATGGATAACACACTGACCACATACATACAACTGTTGTAGAGAAAGGACTCAAACGTAAAACCAGTACAATTATACCTCGGAGTTTTGAATAGTAACTCACCCCTACTTCATGTTCACCCTGAAATAAGTTGTCCCGATAGTACTTGAAGAGGGTTTGAGCTGTTCCCTCATCCCGAAGCAGCTTTCGAATGTTCTGTCGATGTTGATGAATTCTTCGACAGTCCCAGTCGATCGATTTTCATCGGGAGACGCCTATGATCGAGGAGGCAATGCAACAAATTCCTGACTCATACATTCTTTAGGGTGGATCTGTTGCCGTACCGCACAGCTTTAAGTCAGCTTAACCTCCCTGAATAAAATCCAATTAGGTTTCGTTTAAATAGCATTTCGGTCTATACTATCATTTCATTCCTCTCCCCATTTGGATAAGGATAACTTTTTTGTTATTCCAGTCCGTCGTCATTGAGTTCTCATTGGCTTCTAGACGAGTGGTTGCTCCGAAAGATTTGCTTTCTTGTACCAAACTCCAAAGTCCGCTCTAGGATTTACCCTGGCAAATATACCTACATTCACCAATTTTGCCATCAGTGAATTTTTGCAAACGTAATTGACCTGTAGGTGCCTGATTTGTGGGACAGTTCTAGATTTAGAGATTGAGATTGTGGGATTCTAGATTCCTGGGGTTTCTGCTTATGTGGGATGTAAGTTCTCTCACTCAGTATAGAACGAGTGGAATACACGAGTGCCTTTTCGTTCCTTCCCTCGTATGCTCTGAAATGAAATGTGCCCACGGCTTGATTTGTATTGCTTTTATCGATCGGTCTACTAAACATCTCCGTTCAGATACCGTGTTGACAGAGGAGAACGTCGTTGTGAAATCAGCAGATACCGCGCAAAATCGTGAAAATGTCAGGCCATTTGAGTTCGCTTCCTTCAGAGAATAAGCAATATGGGAAAGTGGAAGATATTTTCGATTTTGAGGTAATAGTATATTTGATTATGGTCTTTGTTCTGGGGGCTCTCACTGGCATCTTTCAGAGTCCGCGACTGATCGCGGACCCGTCTCGCGAGCGACTGGCGACCAGTCGCGCGATTGGTCGTGGACTATGAAAGCAGCCACTCCAAAGACGTACAAACCACTAGTTCGTGCTTTAGGTTAACTCACTTAACAACAGAAGTATTTACTGAATATATTCATTATTATGGGAACTTTCATAGGCCCAATTACATGGCCTCAACTTATCTAAGTGTCTACAACCGAACTATTAGAGCCTTTCGACTTCCCTGACTTGAACGCCTTGGCAATTTAATTGGCTATCCGTTCTCTAAGAGAAGCAGCTTGCCTTAGTGAGTCCGCCGGTCTTACCTTGTTCCTTGACGCAGATAGATCCGGCTCAGAGTATAATGTGGTTTGAAGGATAGCAATGAGGCATGTAACTAAATGGCACCCCTCATCTCCCAGTATTCCCAAGCCGCAGGCTCCTTTCCGCAATGGATTACTTTGGATGGGATCACAGGAAGAAACGGCTATCTTCCATCACAGAAAAAGTTCGTCAGAAACTTTTTCAGAAGTTGCTGGTTACCCTAGGCACCGAGTCGACTGTAATCCAGAATTCGTCATGTGCTACGATCAAAATATATTCTGTGAAAAGGTCATGTTAAGGGTATTTGGTTTTGATTCTAGGGAATGGCTGCCGAGAACATGTTCTTTCCTTTCCGTAAGTGACTGATAGCTGACCGCTACGCTGTCATCTCATTTCCAATGAACTGTCGTCTTTCGTTCATGGTCGCCCACCTGGGTATTAACTGAAGAGACATTACTCTAGAAGTTGGAGTGGTCCTTTTCCATTCACTTGATCTCACTCGCCTTCAAAATAACGGCAATGAGTGTCCCAGTCACGCAGTCCTACCTTCATTGGAATTTGTTCCCTTATTCCCTAGCGAACATTCACGTGTTCAGAGTCAAACTCACGATCGCTCCCTTGCTACCAAACTCGCTGCATTACGTGATGACGGTCGCTTTTGTGATGTGACTTTGATAGCCAAGGTAGGCCACAACATGAATAAGTGATTCAATGAATCTGAATAAGAGATTTCAAAGGGATTCCGTATCAACGCTCATCGAGTCGTACTCGCTGCATACTCGGACTACTTCAGGGCCATGTTCACAAGTGAAATGATCGAATCTCGGCAACGTACGTTTATAACTTACGATGCGTGCTTCTACAGTCTCATCACGTTCTCCTTACAAATGTCAGCCCTGCATTACTTCGCTTGTCGTTTTTTTTTCAGCAGAAGTAGAAATGATCGATGTCGAATGGGCAGCTCTTGATGCTCTGGTTAATTTCTGCTATTCTGGTAAGATACGGATCAGCGACGTCAACGTTCCGAGCACACTCCACGCTGCCTGTCTGTTCCAGTTGGAAGAAGTCAAGGTTCTCTATGTTCAAGATCTCGATAAATAGCGATAATCTGTATTACCTAATGAATACCTAGGAGGCTTGTTGTGAGTTCCTTAAGAAGCAGTTACGCCCGTCGAATTGCGTGGGAATTCGGGAATTCGCTGACAGTCACTCCTGTCTAGAGCTCGTTCGTTTTGCTGATGAATACATCCCGGAGAATTTCGAGGTAGCCAGTTTCTGCTTTTGGCTCGTCGTTCACAAATACTTTGCTTTCATTCCTTCAGGACATTATTGGCACTGAAGAGTTTTACCATATTCCAACAAATCAGTTGGTCCAGCTCCTGTCAAACGATAAGCTCGTTGGACGCTCTGAAGAGAAGGTAATGGTAGAAACCTTCAGTTTTTCAGTGTTTTTTGTGTGTTGTTGTTTTCAAGTGCGCTGAAGACAAGTATGACTCCAGGTGTTCACTGCAGTTATTCAGTGGGTTGAGTTCGACTTGTCATCTCGGAAGCAGTTGCTCCCGCAGGTAAAAGCCAGAAGGTTCTCCAAATAATAACCTCCAATCAACTTTTGCAGCTGCTGGAGCACATACGATTTCCCCGTTGTCGGCCGGAGTTTCTTGTCAACACAGTAAGTAAAAATGCGCTAGTGATGGGGGATGCGACCTGCCGCGATTTCGTCGACCAAGCAAAGGTCAGAAGCTTTCGCTAGAAGACTGCTCTTAACAAATTCGTTTGGTAAATTTGTCATGAGCTGGTATTCCCTACCCTTTCAAGTGGCTCAAGTTTTAGGATGACCTAATTCTTCGATTTTCCACCCTTGAATGTTCGAACGATAAAGCGAAGCACGCTGAAGTAATCTATGTTGGTATGAGGCTTAACGAAATCTTATTGTCCAAGAGTCCAAAGTCTAACTTGGGTTTTTCTCACCATAACGGCTCCCATATTGGCTTTTTCTAGCTATTCACCTATGTAGGAAGTTAATGGTCTTATTCTGAAATTTGCAACTCCAGTGGGTGGATATGAAGAGAGGAGGGTCGAACGCATGGATCCTGAAGGTGCAAATGCTGTATGGCAGTACGTTGCTCCTTTGAACCAGATAAGGTACAACATTCTTCTAAGATGTGCTTACCATTCCGAGAACGACTGAATTCCCTAAGGTCTAATGGCGGCGTTGCTGTTGTCGACAGGTTCATTTACGCTGTGTGTGGCCAAGATTGGAATTATGATGCTTTGAACAGCATTGAGAGGTACTGCGTTCTTTAACTAAAAAACAGAGTAGCCTTAAATAAAAGCAATTTTTCTGTAGTACTATCCGTGAATCAGATTTAAGTTAGTGCGACCCTGCTATTTCACTCAGTCAAAGATCAGTTTTCAACGAAAAACTCGGAAATAAACAAAAACTAGTTCGCTTTACACGGGCTGCATTTTCGAAAAAAAAGAACGGTTTTTGGAGCAAATTCCTCCAAAGTTTGAGTTCTGTCGCTAGAATTGAATGATAGTTGTTTCATTGGAACCATTTGTGTAGCCATGTGAGATGGAAAGAATTTAGTTTTTCTCAATGTACCTTTTCAGATATAATCCTGCAACTGACCAGTGGATGTCTGACGTCGCTCCCTGTCACACTAGTCGATTTTGGATAGGTGTAGCGGCTCTGGAAGAACATCTTTATGCAATTGGTGGCTGTGAGGATCTTAGACGTCAAAGTCTGAACATTGTTGAACGGTAGAGCAGGTTTAATCGCTTCGCGCATACAATGAATTCCGCCATGTCGCTGCAGCTATGACGTTCGGCGAAATGAGTGGACATCTGCTGCACCTATGGGTTCATGTCGACACTCCCTTTCTGTTTCCATATTAGATGGTTGCCTCTACGCAGTTGGAGGGCGCAAAAGAGAAATCGCTCTAAGTACCGTAGAGAGGTGGGTCAGTTTCAATCTGGTGACACTGTACAGCTTTGAGCAGAGTTTCGTAGCATTAAACATCTTTGATTACTCTTGTG